CACGTGCATATGGGAATACACAAGAAAAATCATGTGAAACATTCTACACCACAGTCTCTGTCTCTGTCTCTGTCTCTCTCTCTCTCACACACACACACACACATTCACACATTTTTAAAGGCCATTATATATAATGTTAGCATAAATTGACATTTTATAATGTCTGTTCAGGACGCTTTGGGATGCTGAAAATCCCCGTGTGTTGTGCAGATGACTGTTTCTCTGACTCACCTCTACTTTCCCCTTGTCTACTCCACTTCTCACAAGAATCTCATAATACACCTCAAGTTCCTTGAAGCAGTACACAAAGCTGTGTTACATTAAAAAATGGCAATGCCCAATATCTAGTCTATCAGAGCAGATCAGCTTGTGTTTGAAAGAATAAGTTTAGAGCCTGTCCTGTGTTAGTTTGAGTTTTGGCTTCATAGCATACAAATGCTATGCATTGGGCTACATACCCAGTCCTGTCAAGCCTTGGCTTCCTGGTCTTTAAAATGGGGATTATATCAGTAAACATAATGTATAGTTTTTTTTTAATTCAAACTTTTATTTTTGAGTATTTCATTTGTACACTTTACCCCTTCCAACTCCTCCCATGCCTCCCTTTCACTGCATGGGATTTATAATCTCTTCTTCTTTAATTACATTAATCTTTCCAAAAGATGGAAACAATGAGCTCCATTTCATTCTTGTTGGGTAGGGCACAAGTAGGATTACATAAAGGTTAGAAAGGGAAGAAGTATGATAATATTAAATTAAAAAAAATGTCAATTGAAAAACCTTTTCTCAAAACCTACTAAAGACTATACAGTAACACTTGAATATCTTAGTAGTTTTGGAAATGGAACAGACCCGACATAGGGAAAATCATCTGATGAAGTCAGTGGTGTTCTAAAGACTCAGCTCAGATGAAGCTCCGTATCTTTGGTAAATGCACATAATTACGACACTTGATCTTAGCCAAAAGGCCGAGAAGCGATACGCACATAATTACGAGTGAAAAAGGAAAATATTCTTCAAAATTAATTGGCAAATGCTATTAATAGATTGCTTTTAGAATAACTAAAATTATATTTTTTTCTTTTTTCCCAGTAAAAAGTATTTAATTTGCTGTTAATGACAAACATGTTGTAGTGCTGGAGAGATGGCTGAGTAGTTAAGGGTACTTGATGCTGTTGGAGAGAAGCCAAGTTTAAGTCTAAACACCTACATGGTGGCTGAAAATAGTTAGGACCTCCAATTTCTCATCTTCAGGGGCATTGTATGCACATGGTGCATCGACATACATGCAGTCAAAAACATACATACACATAAAAGAGATAAAGTTAAGTAAAAAAATTTAAAAGAAAAAATAAAAAAGAAAGCAATCTTGCATTTATAGGTTTAAAAAATTAAGAACATTATAAATGTGGTTATCCACTTTCCTGTAAAAGGAAGTGAACTACAGATATGCTTAGGTTTCTTGTGTCAATGAATATTGTTGAATTCACTTAGCAAATAATATGTTTTAAACATCACTAAGTTTTTGATTTCACAAAGTCTCACCGCTCTCTAAGACCCTATTGTCAGTTGATGCTACTGGGAAAGGAAGAGTTGGTTGTTTTAAAGGATGTGGCTTCTGGGGGCTTGTCCACACTCTAGCATAAAGCCAAATATCAAGCATGTATGGGCAGCACAAACTGTACTTGACAGATATCCTGATTAGCTTTTGTCAGCTCATCACAAGCTAAACTTCTGTGAGAAGAGAGAGCTATTTGGATTATTCCTCTGTAACATTGTTCTGTGAAAAACCTGTGGGGCCTTTTCTTAACTACTGATTGCTATGGGAGGGCCTACCCCATGTTAATGACAAAGCTCCTGGGGTTTGGGTCTTAAATATAATAGAACAGTCTAAGCAAGCCATGAGGATCAAGCCGGTAAGCAGCATTTCTCCAGAAATTTGAAAACCTCTTAGACGCTATCAGGGACATTCATGTGATATTTTGAATTAAGAACCACTAAAGTAAATCTTTTGGTTTCCTGGGACAATCAATACTGATTTCTTGTGATGAAGAGTTAACTGTAATTCAGAAGAGACTAGCACTACTACTGTGTTGTGGAACAATATTTTTGTATACAATGAAGATGTGTTCCCTCATTGGGTAATAAAGAGCTAACAGGAAGAGGTTAGACAGGAGAGCCAGACAGAGAATGCTGAGAAAAAAAAAAGGTCATGGCGAACAATGAGGACTGATGAGAAGCCAAGGTCAATGGCAAGGGGTTTTGATCCTACTTCATGTTCTGGCTTGGTGGGAGCCTAGCCAGTTTGGATGTTAACCTTCCTAGACATGGAGGGAGGGGGGAGGACCTTGGACTTTCCACAGGACAGGGAACCATGACTGCTCTTTGGATAGGAGAGGGAGGGGGAGAGGAGTGAGGGGAGGGGGAGAAGAGTGGGGG